TATTAATATAAATGTTCAAGCGTTTTACCGTCTTAAGGGGAAAATCTTGATAAAAAAAATTCCTAAATTATTGTAGCTAACATACTTTTCTTATATAAATGATTAATAAATATATTTAATATTAATATATGTATAAACTTCAGCAATAAATTAAGTTCGGTCAGATTAAATCTTAATGTTAAATTGAATTTCCCAAACTCCACCATCTCCCCTTAAAGCAATTCCAATTCCCAATCCAGCAATTCAGTAGCTGTTAAGTAATTTAGTTTGAAATGCCAAACAGTTGTAGTCACAATATATATTATATATGTATGAGTGTGTACAGGGCTACCTGAATACGTTCATGTGTCATACGCACACACACACACATAGAGAGAAATTTATGTATCTGTGACTCTTGAGTTGTGGCAGAGGCACTTGAAAAATTATCTGCAACATGTAAATTCAATTTTCATTGTTCTTTATCTGTGATGGTCTCTCACTCGCTGCCATAGAGCAGGCCAAAACAGAGGCAGTTACTAAAAATACAAAAACAAAAAATAATGATGATGATGAAGAGTAGAAGCTGAAGCAGAAGCAGAAGCAGAAGCAGAAACGATATATTTATGTATATACATAGGCATATGAAAATAATGTAAAGTTTTCTACAAGGGCCCTTGACTGGAGGACTGCCGTTTTGGTCTGCTGTAGATGGGGCAAAGTGTTAAGTTGGAATTTATAGTTGAACGTTTAATCTGTGTCAGTTTGGTGCGTCAGCTTGCAGCTGGGGCGGCAGATAGCTTGAAGTGTCATAATTGACCAGACTTTGGAAGACAAGTGCCATTATTCATGGGCAGGAATTTAACTGTTGCCCACGTCGCAATCGCACTTGAGCAAGATTGAGATCTTGTCTTGTCTTGGGGGGTCGTGTCCAAGTGGAACACCCAGAAGGCACAAGACAAACGTACAGTCGACTATATAAAATGTTATGCAGAAACCGAAAAAAGTTGCTCAAATATCCCCCCTCTCTCTCTCTCTCCCTGATTTGCAGGCTGCCGTGAGACGGGCTTCATCTATGCCATCACCAGCGCCGCTGTGACCCATTCGATAGCGCGAGCCTGCAGCGAGGGCACCATCGAGTCCTGCACCTGCGACTACAGCCACCAGACGCGCTCTCCGCAGGCCAATCATCAGGCGGGCAGCGTTGCCGGCGTCCGGGACTGGGAGTGGGGCGGCTGCTCGGACAACATCGGGTTCGGCTTCAAGTTCTCGCGCGAATTCGTGGACACCGGCGAGCGTGGACGCAATCTGCGCGAGAAGATGAATCTGCACAACAATGAGGCGGGCCGTGCGGTAAGTAACCACCAATCGCATCCACTTGAGTCCAGTCCAGTTCGATCTAACGAGCCATTTAGTCGATCCTCCATTACAATTCTAATGGCTGTCGCCTCGACTGGCCCACAATTTACGACTTGCCTAATAAAATGCAACGAGTGCTTTGCCGATTTCCGCCCCAATTGGCGACTTGGCCAACTTGTGGAGCCAGCTAGCCAGACTGCGGCTACAGCAACTACTCCCTGTCTCTCGTGCACTCGTTTGCGCGCATGTAGCTCGTATATTAAAATCGTTGACAGCCCGGAGGACTACAACAACAACAGCAGCAGCAACAACAAACAGCGCAAATGTAGTCCGCAGCAGCTGGATGCAATTGCACAGTGGATGCAGCTCATCTCATCAGCAGATCATTTATCAAGCAAATGAGATTTCGCCTCTCAGATCGCTACCCAAATAGAAAGGCTTTTCAATTCGCTATCGATTACGGATCTAAGCTGACTGCGACTTCAAATCAATTAAAGAAATGAAAAGCTCTTTTGCTATCGCTTCAAATTAAATCTCCATAATTTGCTATCGATTTATTAATAAGCCAAAATGAACTTCAAATTAAATTAAAAATATATTTAATTGATTTAGATCATAAATCAACAGAAGTTGATCAATCATAGACAAATTTCGTAAACAAATTTTCAACGAGTTTCATAATAAATCGAAATTAATTTATCGATCAACATATTGATAACTTTCAAAGAGATCTATCAGCTCTGATCAGCATTAAATTTTCAAAAGTAATTTTCGCAATTAGCGCATTTGCGAGCGACCACTGTACAGTACAGTGTGGCCTGCCTGCCGTTGCCTAGCTCTTGCCTAGCTCTTGGTGGTGCCATAGAAAGTGGCACACCGCCGAGTGGTGCTCAGCGCTAACAAAGCTGGAGCTGTGGAGCGATGGAGCGCCAGAGCTTTGGGGCCACCATCTGTGTTATTATTTTATTACTTGTTATGGGCTCCATCGATGATGATCATCATGTGGTTTGCTGTGCGCCTTGCTGGCTGCGAGGGCCCCCCAACTGCGCTGATTTCTTACTTTTGGTCAGGCCAATTACAACAACAGCAGCAACAGCAGCAGCAGCTGAGGCAGGGGCAACAGCAGCAGCAATAACATGCAACATGCGCACAGCAAGTTGCAACAACATTTATTGATTTTTAATAACTGCAACAACGTGGCAGGCGGGCCGCCAATCGAATCGAGCAAAAAACGGCAAAATAATTAAGTGAAAAAGATATTGGAGGAGCGGCAGCAGCATCTCAACATCCCAACATCTCAACAGCCTAATAAAGTCATACTAATGAAGCCCCCGTCTACCCCATGCTTACTCTCATTGCAGCACGTTCAGGCGGAGATGCGGCAGGAGTGCAAATGCCACGGCATGTCCGGCTCGTGTACAGTGAAAACCTGCTGGATGCGTCTGGCCAACTTCCGTGTCATAGGCGACAATCTGAAGGCCCGCTTCGACGGCGCCACCCGCGTCCAGGTCAGCAACAGTCTGCGCCAGAGCAGCAACGCCGTCCCCGTCGTCAACCCCAATGCGGCCGGACCCAACAGCGTCGTGGTGGCCGGCGTCGGCGTCGGGGGCAACGGGCTGCCGCCCTCGGTCAGCGGCTACGACGACGAGGAGCGCATGCTCAACGACCACATGCCCGAACTGCTGCTGGACAACAGTCATCCCAATAGCAAACAGCACCATCCCAACATGCCCTCGCCCAACAGCCTGCCCGTGGCGGGCGCCAGGTCACGCGGACACGGACGGGGTCGCCTGGGTCGCAAGCACAACAGGTAAGAAGTGATCGATATTCTATATTCTATATTCTATATTCTATATTCTATATTCTATATTCTATATTCTATATTCTATATTCTATATTCTATATTCTATATTCTATATTCTATATTCTATATTCTATATTCTATATTCTATATTCTATATTCTATATTCTATATTCTATATTCTATATTCTATATTCTATATTCTATATTCTATATTCTATATTCTATATTCTATATTCTATATTCTATATTCTATATTCTATATTCTATATTCTATATTCTATATTCTATATTCTATATTCTATATNGATCGATATTCTATATTCTATATTCTATATTCTATATTCTATATTCTATATTCTATATTCTATATTCTATATTCTATATTCTATATTCTATATTCTATATTCTATATTCTATATTCTATATTCTATATTCTATATTCTATATTCTATATTCTATATTCTATATTCTATATTCTATATTCTACATTCTATATTCTATATTCTATATGTTATATTCTATATTCTACATTACTCAACCCTCGCTTCTTCTTCTCATTCCATTTGCAGATACCACTTCCAGCTGAATCCGCACAATCCGGAGCACAAGCCGCCAGGTCCCAAGGACATTGTCTATCTGGAGTCATCGCCCAGTTTCTGCGAGAAGAATCTGAGACAGGGCATTCTGGGCACACACGGACGGCAGTGCAACGACACCTCGCTGGGCGTCGACGGCTGTGACCTGATGTGCTGTGGGCGTGGCTATCGCACGCAGGAGGTCGTCGTCGTGGAGCGCTGCGCCTGCACCTTCCACTGGTGCTGCGAGGTCAAGTGCAAGCTGTGTCGAACCAAGAAGATCATACACACGTGTCTGTAAGCCTGTAGGCCTCCCTCTCCGGCCCCGCCCAGCCGCGGCCCGCCCTCTTGCCCGCTAGCCCATCCGCCCCCTAATGCCCACTTTGTGTATGTGTTATGTATTTGTCTACGCTTAGCCTTTGTTATTAGACATTAAGAGCCTAGACTAAAGCCTAGTTAAAGTCCATGAACCGCCCCTAATTTATGCGCACATAACAGCCCCCTCTGACTTCTTAGCAGTATTACGTACGTATATATACACAATCGTATATATAAACACACACATATATATATTTATATAGACAGTTCATAGACACGACAAAAGTAGAGTATACAACTTCGTTTTGCCCAGTTTTTAGTTTTATAAGCAACACGCGATCCTAGCAGCAAATCTTTTTTTTTTTTTTGTAAATTTCGTTGCTGTTCTGCAAGGCCCATTAAAGTATAAAGTATGTTCTAAATTGTATTCTTAATTTAGCTATAGATTTCATAATTTAAAAAGAGAAAACAAATAGAAAAGAAAAAGAAAAACAGAAGCGCGTTCAAGCATCTCCTTCAACCCAATTCATTTAATCAACGAAAAATATTTTACGAAATTATTGAAAACAAGACTGAAATTCAATTGCGCGCAGCTGAAACTCTATCTTTTTTTACTCTCTCTCTCTCTCTCTCTCTCTCTCTCTGTCTCTCTCTCGCCCTCTTTCTAACAGCAACAGTAATAGCATTGTTATTGTCTAGTTAACAGCGACGCTGACGTCGACGCTGGCAGCGCTGCTTGCATTCCCGCTTTGCCCAGCTGCAAAGTGCATGTTAAGCATACGCCGCGTGAACGTTTAGCAGCAGAAGGCAACTAGTTCCCATATATGAGCCAGTTCATATGAATTACGCACTATTTGCAGCAGCTCTCCATGTCTGCGTCTTTCATACATTTTGTGTACATAATTAAGTTAATTTACTTTAATTTGGCTAAGTTCGTTATCTCTAAGTAAGTACAGCAAATGCACGCTAGATGGCGCCACATAAACAATTCATTTTGTACTCGGTTATTTCTGCTATGGAATTTATGAAATTTTGCACAAAAGTAACGAAATCTTTTAATACTAACCATATTATTTAACAAAAGAGAACATTTAAATATATGTGTTTTTTTTTTTTAAATCTGCCCCCATACAAAATTTAATTTATCCATAAATTATGTTGCCTTTTCGGTTGTGCGTTCTAGGTATTACTAATAATTAATTAATTGATAGCTTAATGATTAATTAGACAACTAATTCAAGTATATTTAATTAATTTATATTAGAGCATAGACAACATTCAATATTGTAAAGTATTAAAAACATAATGAGAAAAAAAAAAACAAAAAAACAAAAAAATTGCGAATGCAATGCACAAATCAATAAAACAACAAAACAAAAAAAAAAAAAAAAAAATCAAAAATCTACGAAAATTTATATGAGAAAAAAACTACACTCAACAAAAACAATGTGGAATTTATTTAATTTATATTAGAGCATAGACAACATTCAATATTGTAAAGTATTAAAAACATAATGAGAAAAAAAAAAACAAAAAAACAAAAAAATTGCGAATGCAATGCACAAATCAATAAAACAACAAAACAAAAAAAAAAAAAAAAAAAATCAAAATCTACGAAAATTTATATGAGAAAAAAACTACACTCAACAAAAAAAATGTGGAATTTATTTCGTTGAGCAATTATTTGGTTCAAGTGTGCGGCAATTAGCCAGCCAGTCGGCGAGAGGGTTCGCCAGGGGGCGGGGCAGCAGGAGGCGGGGAGGGAGGCCGTTTGGGTCATGGTCTGTGCGAAGTATTTCAATATTTGATTTAAGCAGCTCGGTGGCAGTTTCCCAAGCGCATTTTTTGTGTTGCTGCCTGTCAGCCTGGGCAGCAGCAACAGCAGCAACAACAACAGCAACAGCAACAGCAACTACAGTAACAACAACAAGTAACGAACGAGCAACGACAGTTGCATCTTTTGTATATCGTCGGCGTCTCTTCTGCTTCTGCTTCAGCTTCAGCTTCAGCTTCGATCTCTGCTGGGCCCCTGACAATGCGAACGACAATTCCGCGCTGTCAGCGTCCAGCGCCGAACGGCTTTCAACTTTCAGCGACAATCAGCAGGAGGAGCAGGCACAGTCACAGGCACTGGCGCAGCAGATCTCGGACATGCAATTGCCGGGGCAACTATGCAACTGACAGCGACAGATCTAGACGAGGCGGCTGGAATCGGTATCGGAATCGGGGGTACAATCTGGCCAGCTACCCAGCTGTCCAGATGCCCAGATGCCCAGCCAGGGCTGCTTAGCCCGCTTAGCCGCTGATGTGGCCCGGCTTACATTGATCCTGATTCCAGCTACTGATCTGCCAGCCGCCAGTCGTATGTGTGCAAAAAGTGATCGTGCTACATGTGTCCAGCGCAGTTGACAGTTTTGTTTCGCTCTCGGCCACGCTGCTGCGATTCCCAATCATTAAACGGGTGGGAACTCCACCAAACCCATCCACAATGCAATTCGATGCTGCTGTTGTTGTTGTTGTTGTTGTTATTGTTGTTGAGGAAGTCGCAGTCACAGATTTCTGATTAGCGGCAACCACTCAAATGTCTTGATATATGGTCTATTTCTGGGACTGGCGATGCATGGCGATAACGCAACAATTAAAATGTTTTAGCCGATAACTAAATAAAGCAATTAAAAAGAATTATTATT